TGGTGGTGGTGGTGATGAGTGGTGGTGGTGGTGACCGTGATGTGGTGGTGGTGGTGGTGATGAGTGGTGACTGTGGTGGTGGTGACCGTGATGTGATGGTGGTGACTGTGATGGTGGTGGTGATGATGATGAGGGGTGCTAATAAGGGGTGATGGGAATGAAGTGATGGGAGTGTTGATGTTACAGAGGTGAGGTGGGACTGGTGCTGCCGGTAATGTGGATGACAGCCATGGTGGTGGGGAGCGGGGTAGTGATGATGATGGTAGTGAATGTAGTGGTGGAGAAGACGCTGGACTGTTGCCCAGTTTTAGAATGACTATGTAATCCTCTCCGTAAACATGCGAGGGAGTTGTCACCACCTTCTAGACGAGCAGACACAGCGGCCTCTTTCCCGCTGTAAGCAGTGGGGTGAGGATCGTGACCCTGACCGGGTCCTCACCACCTGAGTCTGCATAGCAGGGTCTGCTGGCCCCTGGACTCCAGGGTCGGGGCAGGCATGCAGCAGTGACCACCACTTGGCCCTCCAGGTGTACGATGTCCCTCCATCGGTGAGCAAAGACGTGCCCGACGGTGCGCTACTGCGTGAGGAGACGTACGACGTGCCCCCTGCCTTCGCCAAGGCCAAGCCCTTCAACCCCACCCGCCACCCGCTGGTGCTAGCGGCGCCCCCTCCGGACTCCCCGCCCCCCGAGGACGTGTACGACGTCCCCCCACCGGCGCCCGACGTCTATGATGTGCCCCCCGGGCTGCGCAGGCCGGTGCCCGCCACCCTCTACGACGTGCCCCGTGAGCGCGCGCTGCCCCCCGAGGCCGGTCCGGCGGCCGATGGCGTGTACTCGGTGCCGCCGCCCGCCGAGCGCGAGGGTCCCGCCGAGGGCAAGCGCCTGTCGGCGTCCAGCACGGGCAGCACGCGGAGCAGCCAGTCGGCGTCGTCCCTGGAGGCCGTGCCGGGCCGCGAACCACTGGAGCTCGAGGTGGCCATGGAGGCGCTGCCCCGGCTGCAGCAGGCCGTGAGCGGCACGGTGGCCCACCTCCTGGACCTGGTGGGGGGCGCGGGCTGGCGCAGCGCCCCCGAGGCTCCGGAGCCGCTGCAGGCCGAGCTGCGGGCCGCCGTGGCCGCTGTCCAGGGGGCGGTGCAGGAACTGCTGGAGTTTGCCCGCACTGCCATCAGCAACGCTGCCCACACCTCGGACCGTGGACTGCACGCCAAGCTCAGCCGCCAGGTGCAGAAGATGGAGGATGTGCACCAGACCCTGGTGGCGCATGGCCAAGCGCTGGACGGGAGCCGGGGAGGCCCCGGGGCCACTCCTGAGGACCTGGACCGCCTGGTGGCCTGCTCGCGGGCCGTGCCCGAGGACGCCAAGCAGCTTGCCTCTTTCTTGCATGGAAATGCCTCGCTGCTCTTCCGAAGGACCAAGACCTCAGCCTGCGGGCCTGAGGCAAGCGGCCCCCTGCACCCCAACCACACCGACAAGGCCTGTAGCATCCAGTCGCGGCCCCTGCCCTCACCCCCTAAGTTCACCTCCCAGGACTCTCCAGATGGACAATATGAGAACAGTGAGGGGGGCTGGATGGAGGATTACGACTACGTCCACCTGCAGGTGGGTGTCTCCCTCCCCGCCCCCATCTGCATCCTGGCATTGCAGCTTCTCCTGGGACCCCTGGTGTGTGTCCCCTTGCACACACAGGACACCCGTCACTTAAGGGTTCTGGTTGGCGCCGAGCTGCGGGGTTGGGTGGTGCTGCAGAGTCCAGCACCCTCTTCTCTCTAACCTGCTCGAGTGTTCTGCCTCTGTGACCAGAGTCCAGTTCCAGCCTAGCACATGTAGATCATTGCTGGCCTAGGCCGTGAGAATGGGGGTGGGCTCAGGGACCTGGGTAACAGCCCTGCCAGTGAGATCCCGAGAGAGATGGCCAGAGAGATGGCCGTGCTGAGAGCGGGCAGCCTAGGCGGAAAGGCTTCAGCCATGTGGCCATTTGCACCATCTGCATAAACAACTCATCCAGGGCCCAGGCCTGGGCCAGCCCCCCAACCCCCAGCCTTCTGTAGTGGCTGGTGTGTGTGTGTACGCAGCACCCCCTGGTGGACGCTCACCCTCACTGCCCGCTGCCCCAGCCCCAGGCTCCCCTGAGGTAGCCGGGCCTCAGCCAGTGCTGGTCTCTCTCCCAGGGAAAAGAAGAGTTTGAGAAGACGCAGAAGGAGCTGCTAGAGAAGGACAGCATCATACAGCAGGGGAAGGGCCAGCTGGAGCTGCAGCAGGTAAAGTCCCACCTAGCCATGGAGACCCTCAGGCCCACTGGTTCTCCCAGCCGGTCTCCTCATCTGCCTGGGACCCAGTCAGCCCAGCCCCGCCTCTGGGACTGGGCCTGACCTCCACGGCCCATACCCTCTCACTCGGGCTGTTTTCATCTTGCTTAACTGACCCATAGTTGACCCTGCAGCAGGTTTTCAGAGGCTCTCAGTCACAAGGGAAGAGATTGAACTTCTTTCTTCTGAGGAGCATGTGGTGAATTTACACTGGCTGCCTTTGGGTTGGTGGGGCAGGTTTCGGTCCACTGGGGCACCCGAGCTCCTCTTTTGGTTTGGTTTTGTTGTTAGGTGCTATTGAGTCAAGTTCAACTCATAGAGACCCTATGAACAATAGATCTGAACTCTGTTCTATCCTGCGCCATCCTCACACTTCCCGACACACAAGTCTATTGCAGCAGTCACTGTGTAAGTCCACCTGGTTGAGGGTCTTCCTTTTCTTCGCTGACCCTCCACCCTTTCCAGCATCATGTCCTTCTCCAAGAAATAGCACCTGTGGGCAACATGCCCAGAATATATAAATGTAAGGCAAAGCTCATCATTCTTGCCTCCAAAGAACACTCTGGCTGCACCTTCTCCAAGATAAATCTGTCTGTTCTCTTGGCCATCCATGGGATGTTCAGTGCTCTTCTCCAACATCACAGCTCACAGGTATTAGGATATTAAATATTTTTTTGTGGATAAGCAAACTTATTTTTTACTTGCAGCAAATGAAAAGGAGACAGAGGCTAGTGCCTTTGAAAAAAAATGTTGTCTTAGGGAGCTCTGGTGGCCTCGTGATAAGAAGCTGCACTGCAATCCCAAAGGCATGCAGTTTGAATCTACCACTTGCTCTGGAGAAGGATGGACAGTTTCCTCCTGGGCAATTACAAGCCTCTGAAAACCCGCTAGAGTGTCAGCTATGAGTTGGTTACAACTCAAAAACACACTGACGAATGGTTTGCTTGTCATCTGAAGAAATGCTGGCTTGGTTTTTAGTGATTATCAGAAGAAAGATTTGTAGACGTGGAGAGGAGGACAGTGCACGTGTAGGCGGGTGGCGTCTGAGCCTCTGGGGGTCTTTCTGTGGGCTGCGAAGTGTGTTTTGGGGACAGGTCCACTCTGCTGGATCTCAGCAGTTGCCTTGGTGTTAAACAAGTTTCATGAATTGTCCTAAAGGCCACTTGCTGCCCATGACTGCGGTACATCTGCTTCTTACTTATTTCCCTTTTTATCGGTATAGTCCTGTTTTGATCTGCATGTTTGTGATTTGCTCCAAATACCAGATGATCTGATCAAATTAGAATGTAGAATAACACTGAGTAAACACAGACGTCACACATCTCATTCTCCCTGGACACCTAGCATGGTGGAGGAGGGAGCCCGCTGGCTGCGACGAGGGTGAGGACACATGGAGCGTGATTCAAGGCCCCCTCCCCAGCTGTGAGGTGGGCTCTGTGGTCGTCCGTCTCACAGAGCTGATGAGTAAATGAAGAATGTTAAATGTTTGGAAAGTGTCTGGGACATAGCAACCCTCAGTGAAGGAATGATTGTTGTTGTTACATGCCATCAAATCACCTATGACGCGTTATGAGCCTATGAACAACAATCTGAACCCTGTGCTATCCGGATTGTCACAGTCACTGTGTTAGTCCCTCTTGTTGAAGGTCCATCTTGCTCTGACCTGACCCCTTTCCCACCATGATGTCTTTTTGCAAGGACTGGCCCTTCTTAATAACATACTCAAAATATGTGGGACACAGTTTTACCATCCTTGTTTCTAAGATTGTACTTCCTCCAACAGAGAATTTTTAAAATATATCTATATAAAAATCTTTATTATTTGAATGAGAATTAATGACTTAGTGAAAATAAGAAAGACCCCTAAGTCCCTGGCCATTTTGGTTGAGTCTGTGATAGAACACTTTGGTTAAGAATTTCAGATTTCCTCTTTCACCAAGGACCCGCCAGCATGGGCCGCGTTTGCACCAAAACCGTGAAGAAGGCGGCCCGGGTCATCATTGAGAAATACTACACGCGCCTTGGTAATGACTTCCACACGAACAATCGCGTGTGCGAGGAGATCGCCGTTATTCCCAGCAAGAAACTCTGGAACAAGATAGCAGGCTATGTCACACATCTGATGAAGTGGATTCAGAGAGGGCCTGTGAGAGGCATCTCCATTAAGCTGCAGGAGGAGGAGAGAGAAAGGAGAGATAATTATGTACCAGAGGTTTCAGCCCTGGATCAGGAGATCATTGAAGTAGATCCTGATACTAAGGAAATGCTGAAACTCTTGGACTTTGGCAGTCTGTCCAACCTGCAGGTCACTCAGCCCACAGTTGGGATGAATTTCAAAACACCACGTGGAGCCGTTTGAGTCTGTTTGCTGTGCTGTAATATTTTCAATAATTTTGGGCACACCAGCCTTGCCTTTGTAAAAAAAAAAATTTTTTTCAAAGAAAATGACCCACCAGGGCAGGTTGCTTGGTTTGGCTAATGTAGGGCTCAAGGCTTGGGGTGACCTGAGCCTGCCTGTCTGTCCTCAGGTTGGGCCTGGCTGTCACTGGCACCTACTCCCCTGGATGGAACATGAGTTCTTTTGGTTCTCCCACGCGGGGGCTGCTCTTGCTGGACATTTTTTCTTTTACCAAAAGAAGCTTACTGACACCAAAGTATTCACGCGGCATTGTTAGGGGATGAAAGTGGACACACCGTCTTCATTTTCCTAAGTGAAAAGGAAAAGGAGTGCTCAGACCTAAAATGTCCTGAAGAATTTTCATCAAGTTTTTTATGTCTATGAGTTGTCATTTTCTGTATTTATCCCTCTCTTTGAAATTTTTGTGCTGGAAATTTTCAGACATGCTTGAAATTAGAAAACCGTGACATGAACACCGGCTCCCACACCCCCCAGTGACCCTTAGCTGAACAGCCAGGACCTGTTCCATCTGGCCTCCTTATCAGTTTAACTGGAAATAAACCTTACTGAGGGGTTATCTCATCAGTAACTAAGCTGGTGTGTGCTCTGCAGGGTAGAGACTCCTGGAATTTAGCAGAGGTCATTTCCGGGGCTCCATGTAATTTCTGCTGTTTTCCTGCTTTGCTGTATCTGAATATGTATTACTTTCAAAGTGAGAGAAGAGGGGTTTCCCACCCACCAACCTCTTTAATTTGTAGCATTTAAAGATTCTCAAGAAATGGGGAAGCTCATACAGGGTGTTCACCCAGTTTTCCCATGGCTACGTCTCAGGTACTTAGAGTGTGAAAACAATCTCTTCACTGGGTGGTACAGACAGGTGACACACTCCGCTGCTGCCTGAAAGGTTGGGCGTTCAAGTCCACCCGGAGGCACCCCAGAAGAAAGTCTGGCAAACAACAGGCTTTAAAAGAAGTCCACCATTGACAACCCTGTGGGGCACAGTTCTGTCCTGACACACATGGGTCCCCTTGGGGTCTGCTCGGGAGCCAGTGACTAGCTCCTGGCCGAGGTGTTCTTCAGCTCTGTAATGTCATTTCAAGAATTTTATAGAAATGGAATCATACAGTCGGTGAGCTTAGGAGACTGGTAAAAGAACGATTACTGATTGAGGGTCTGACCACAGCCTGGCTAGCTGGTGCAGGAAAACCTTTACCAGGCAGCCCCTAGGACAGGTGTGGCTTTGCTCCCCTTCCTGACAGCCTGACCTCACTTCTGCTTCTCTCTACTGCCCCAGCTGAAGCAGTTTGAGCGACTGGAGCAGGAGGTGTCAAGGCCCATCGACCATGACCTGGCGAACTGGACCCCCACGCAGCCGCTGGCCCCTGGGCGGGCTGGCAGCCTTGGGGCCTCGGACCGACAGCTGCTGCTCTTCTACCTGGAGCAGTGCGAGGCCAACCTGACCACGCTGACCAACGCAGTGGACGCCTTCTTCACTGCTGTGTCCACCAACCAGCCACCCAAGATCTTCGTGGCCCACAGCAAGTTCGTCATTCTCAGTGCCCACAAGCTGGTGTTCATCGGGGACACGCTGTCGCGGCAGGCCAAGGCGGCCGACGTGCGCAGCCAGGTGACCCACTATAGCAACCTGCTGTGTGACCTTCTGCGTGGCATCGTGGCCACCACCAAGGCGGCCGCCCTGCAGTACCCATCTCCTGCTGCCGCCCAGGACATGGTGGACAGGGTCAAGGAGCTGGGCCACAGCACCCAGCAGTTCCGCCGGGTCCTGGGCCAGCTGGCAGCTGCCTGAGCACAAATGACTAGAGGGTGGCAGGAGGCGTCCAGGGTGGACAGAAACACCTGCACCACCACCCCCTGGCTGTGTCCTCCGTCACCGTGCCGAGGCTGGGGACAGGCCACCCCAGCTCTGGCGCGGCCCCAGTGCCACAGGCTGCCCAGGGATGTGTACATATTTATGACGGCAGGATGTGGCACGAGCCGCCTCAGAGCTGGGCTCAGGACACTGATTGCTGCTGCCCGGATGTGCCTGATGGGACACAGGGCAGGGCCGGGGCGTGGCGGGTCCCTCAGCCCACAGGCCTGGGATGACTCTAGCCCCAGGAACCCAGGAACAGGCAGCCGGTGTGCTCCCTTCCTGCAACAGGAGAAAACCCTAAAGAATTATTTTTCATTATTGATTTTCCAATCATTTGACTAATGGTCTACATTTAAATAAAATTTTTAAATGGAAAGCTGCTTCCCGAGGGATGTGCTGGTGACAGGAAGAATAGCTTGGCCCTGGGACCTTGAGGAAATGTCAGCCACCAGTTCAGTGGTCAAGGCTGTGGGACCCCATCTGGAATTCTGCACTTAGTAAGAAGCTTGTCACTTGAGCGGTGGCCCCTGCAGTGTTCTGAATGACACAGGGACTTGCCCTCCAGGTCAGAGAGCGGGGACTTGATGGGCTGTTGCTGTGGGTCAGTGCCCATCCCACACCAGTCAGGCCCCTGTCCCCTGAGTGTGACCTCGGACTCTGAGAGACACTGGCAGAGATCAGGGGGCTGCTCCTTACTCTGAGCTTCATGTGACCAGGGCCTCAGCATCCTTATCTGTACCAAAAGAGGGTGCACATCAGCCCTCCAGAGGGGACACACCCCACTGAGGACACAGGACTAAGCAGTTGCTGTCCAGGCTATATTTGGGTTTACACAGGTGTAGTGGAGGCTGGGTGTGCTGACCCTCCTGCACTCAGGCCATGGGCTTGGTGGCTTAAGCACACAGACCTGGTGAGAAGGGATGACCCAGGACATAATGCCCACCCTGGTCCAACTGCCATTGTTTGAGCAGATGAAGGGACTGTTGGTGTTGCCTATAAGGGGATCGGGGCTTGTCCAGCATGGAGGGGACTGCTGAGGCTCTCAGATGTCCTGACCTGGCAGTCCAGGACAGCGTCTGGAGATGGAAGGCACACAGAGACCGTGCATGAGTCACTTGGACTTGGGTTCAAGCCTAGTTTTGCATCTGCTGGAGGGACCTGGGTAGGAACTGACCCTTTCCACCTGGACAGCCTCTGAAGGCTGAAATGGGCTGAAGACCCAATTCCAGCAAGTGAGACAAAATGCTCACAGAGCCCTCCCTCAATCTGGGGTGTCTTGTCACCACTCGAGGGGGTCCAGGCCTGTGGGATTGGCAGGGAGGTGATAAGATGCAGGAGGAAATGCCTCTGACCCTGGCCAACTGTCATGTCCACGGGATTGGTGCCCCAGAGTTTGAGGTCAGTGTTGGGCAGAGCTGCCTTCTGCAACTTCTCAGGGTTGAAGTCTGGGGAACAGAATCAGGGGTCATCTCACTTAGCCCACCCCGGAGAATGTTCAGGCCACACAAACTTTCTAAGGTGGTTATCCGTGAAGAAAACTGACTTGGTCAAACCGCAGATTCTTCTGTTCGTAGCCCAAATACCTTCCCCTGTACTAGGTGCCATCGAGTCAACCATTTCTCATAGCAACTCTGAACAGCCCTGAGCCCCGCCCTATGCTGCACCATCCTCCTCCTCCCGGTCACCGTGGGAATCACCATGTCAGTCCATCTTGTTGAGGGTCTTCCTCACTTTTTGCCTTTCCCCTGAATTTCTCGGAGAACCGATTCCACCTGAAAATAGGTCGAGAGGAAGAATCACAATCCTTGCGGCGAAGGAGCAGCACCTCCAAGACAGGTTGGTTGGTTCTTTTGGCCGAATATTTGGTCCCCATTCAGAAGCATCGATTTTTCTAAGGGCGTCCTTATTTGTCCAACTCTACTGAAAACACCGTTGGCTTGGATCCGGCACACCCTAGTCAGTAAATGGACATCTTTGCTCTTTAGAACTTTGAAGAGGTCTTTGAGAGCAAATTTCCCACGGCAACAGGTCTTTTAATTTCTTCACTGCTACTGCCATGGGTGTCGACTGTGGACCCAACTGCAATGGTCGACTTGAGTCCTTTCTCCCCGAGCCATGAGGCTGCCAGGCCAGTCGGACCAGGGGTCACTCTTCTGCAGTCCAGTCGGACCAGGGGTCACTCTTCTGCAGTCAGTGCTTCCTTTGAGCACACACTTTGGATCATCTGCATAGACCTGATGCCACATTCTCCACCATCCCCTTCAAATTCTCCCACTGGCGGTTTTTCACTAGACAATGAAATGACTTCCCCAGACAAACCCTGCACTAGGCGGCTTGTTGACGGCGGCAACCATGGCGACCGTAGGCGCGGTTTTCTCTTCCGGGGCAGGACCTGCACTTCCCGTGCCTGCAGCCGAGGCCCCGCCTCCCGCGAAGGACACGCCCCTTCCGGCATGGCGGCCTGTGTCTGGCATCTCGGGGGGGCGGGGGTCCCGGGCCGCCGGCGGAGGGGCCAGGGGTCCGAGCGCGACAGGCCGGGCCTCAGCGAGCGCGACGGTCATCGCGGGCCAGCGGGAGCGGCTCCCCGGGCTCACTGTCCTCGCTCACGTGTGATAGACGTTGAGCGAAGGGTCTTGTGCACGTTGAGTGATTTGTCTGCACCTGGGATTTAGACCGCAGGTGAGCGTCTCCCACTCAGGAGGCGCCCGCACCGTGGACGTTGGCCGGCAGGCGAGCGGGCACACGGCGGGGCGACGCCGAGAGGACAGGTGGAGGCCACGGAGCAGGTGGCCGCTGGGGCCCTGCAGCTGGGCAGAGAACCTGGACAGCCCCGGACAGAGAGCCCGGACGGCCGGGCAGAGAACCCGGACAGCCGGACAGAGAACCCGGACAGTCGGACAGAGAACCCGGACCGAGAACCTGGACAGCCCCGGACAGAGAGCCCGGACGGCCGGACAGAGAGCCTGGACGGCCGGGCAGAGAACCCGGACAGCCGGACAGAGAACCCGGACAGTCGGACAGAGAACCCGGACCGAGAACCTGGACAGCCCCGGACAGAGAGCCTGGACAGCCTTACAGAGAACCCGGACAGCCGGACAGAGAGCCTGGACAGTTGGACAGAGAGCCCGGACCACAGGGGCCAGCGACTGATGGAAAGATGGCTTCTGGCAGGTTGGCGATGCTTCGTTTTTATGTTCCCTCACATTTCCCTTTAGTGAGCACCAGCTATTTAATATTCCAAAACAAACCTACGCATTTTGTTCTATTCTTCATTATTTAGAGAAATATTCTTTTGAGTTACTCATGTGGTTCAGGCCTTCCTTCCATGTGTAAGACAATGACTAACCCCTGTGGAAATGTGAAGATACTTAACATCTGGACAGCTACAGGGAACTCTGCAGGCCTAGTGCAAGAAGCTGCGCTGGGATCCTGAAGGAACGTGGTTCGAGGCCACTTAGCTGCTCCACAGGAGAACGATGGACAGCCTCCTCCCGTGTGATTAACTTTCTCTGAAAACCTGTCAGAGTCTCAGCCGTGCTGGGGTGTCAGCTGTGGGTTGGTTTTGACTCCATAGTAAAACAACAATAGATATTATAGCACCGCCAACTCAACCTAGGTAACAAGTTGACAGCTGAAGTTTCCAAAATAAATTACGCACGGTATATATTTCTATAAAAGACCAGTCATACTGTGTTAGCAACAACTTTTCCAGCCTCTACAGTTACTGGAACACAATTACAGAAACACCCATCAGGCTCCATTCAAGGAAAAATGTACAAAAGAGGCACCGGCTTGTTGCTACTAGCTTCTTAATCATCATGTGGAAGGGAAAAGTCTACAACATTGTCATTAAACACCAGCCCTGGTGCAGCCTGTTCTCTGGACAATGAAGCTGGTATGAGGGATGCGACAACACTCCCACCTTTGAAGCAGGTATGAGGGATGTGGCAACACTCCCACCTTTGGAGACCCCCTGGGCAGGGCACCCCAGTCACCACCCAGTGGCTCCTGGAGAGAGAGGAGGTGGCAGTTGGGCTCAGGAGAGTGCTGGGGAGGGGAGGGTGTCCAGCACTGTTAACATGGTGACCTTATCCACACAGCGAGGGCACAAGACTAGACCAGTGTTCCCCAAACTGGGCTCTTGATGACTTGGGGTTCCAGGTGGGCTCGGGAGTGTGTGAGCGTCATTCTCTGATAGCCCATGGGCTCCAGGTACCCCAGCCCTGGTTTCAGTGGACCCCACATTGGGCAGCATGACCACCCAATCTCCACTGAGGGGCCCACCAAGAACGTGGAAGCCAGAGCTGGTCTGTGGGAGAGGCATGGGGAGAGGCAACCTGTGCTTCCTCAGCCTCATCCTCCTCAATTGCAGGGACACTTGCCAGGGCCCGGAACCAAGTCAGGGACAGCGTCCTCCACACTGACATTCCTGGCCAGGTCACATCAGGATGGATGGCAGGGTTCCCCCACCTGGGAGCAGTAGCAGGTTGGTTGGTGACCCAGTAGGGTTAAGTGGTGCCAGAGCTTTGGCCCCTCCAGGCCATTCAGTCCCCACCCACCAGCTTAGCAGCCACCTGGAGCTGCCAGCCTGAGCTGGGAGACCAGGCCCAGGCACCCCCATCGACACCCCTGCTGCTGCGGGCCTGAGGTCCTTAGACATGATGGGTCTTCAAGCCCCATGGTGCTCCCACACCTTTGTAGCAAGAGCTGATTGAAGAAGGGGCTGCCCCATCTGGAGGATGCAAACCAGGAGGTGGCCCTAATCTTGGGGTGGAAGAGCTGACAAAGGAGGAAGGACACTGTCCAGGCAGAACCCACCCACTCAGTGGTGGATTGATTTCATAGAAGGTCGTGCATCCGTCTTGTGGGGTGACAGAATGAGACAAGGAAGGGACCCAGGCAGAGGCAGATTGACATGGAGAGGAAGATGAAGCCTCCTGCTTCTGGAAATTGGGGTCAGGAGACAAGTGAAGGGGAACCTGGCAATTAAGCTGGTGTGGAAGAGGAGAGAGCCAAGGAGGAGCCAGAGAAAGGCCATGATGTGTGGCTGGGGGGCCTGCTGCTATTATATTCCCCAAGTCCACTAATCATGGGGGGCCTTGCCACCCCTGCCTTTATATCATGAGTTCAAGGGCTGATGGGCTACTTTCCTCTCATGGGCCCAGGAAGGGTCAACACCTGAGCGGACACACCTGAGAGGATTCCCAGACACAGGTGTATGTGGCCACGTGGGCTTTTCTCGGCCTTGCTCTCCACCCCCAGCTCCCCTCCTCACCCCCCGCGCCCCTCTCACCGAGCTCCCCTCCACACCCCCCTCCGCTCTCCTCCTCACCCCCAACTCCCCCCTCACCGAGCTCCCCTCCACACCCCCAGCTCCCCTCCTCAGCCCCAGCTCCCCCCTCACGCCCAGCTCCCCTCCACTCCTGGTGCTGAAAGGTGGTGGCAAAGGATCTTGGGGAGATGCCCCACTGTCTACCAGACCTGTCCCTTCCTCCTGGGGAATGCTAGCATTCAGGAGCAAAGACGCCTTGACCACAGATGCAGACAGACAGACATGGATGATGTGTTTCCACAGGTTTATTGAGGTTATGGTTGTGGGGAGGCTAAGGGTGCCTGGCCCCAGGCTCAGTTGGCAGCCAGGATCTCCTGGACCCAGGGCATGAGGGCGGTGACGCGGGCATATACGCCAGGGCTGGAGGTGGAGCAGACGCCGCTGCCCCAGGACACGATGCCCACCAGGGTCCAGGCACCTTCCTTCTGGCAGACCAGGGGGCCGCCGGAGTCACCCTGCAGGGAGAGGGCAGGCTTGGAGCTGGGTGCTCGGGCCTGGCGGGGGGGCCAGGGACTGGGTGCCACAGCTAGCCCGGGGCCTGGCACTCCATACACTCACGTTGGGGGGGGACCATGGCCTTCCTGCTGAGCCATGCCCAGGGCTGGGGGGGAGTGATGCAGAAGCCACAGTAAAAATACAATTAAAAACAGCTGCCATCTAGCCAGTTCCAACTCACGGTAACCCTGCGGTGTCCGCTGGTGCCATGTGTTCAGTGGCTGGATTTTGGGACATAAATCTTCAAGCCATTCTCTCATAGCACCTCTGGGTGCATTGAAGCTGCCAGTGTTTCACTTAGCCTCTGTGCATTAACCACTGACTGGAGTGCTTGGGGGGAGCCAGGGGCCTACGTGAGGACAGAAGAACCTTTGTCTTTCTAGAAACAAGGCCTTCGTTCCCCTGTGCCCACTGCTGCACAGCTCCACGGCTTAGACATCCACACGCTTACACCCTAGATGTCATGAGAGGTTTCCACAGGGTGGCTCAGGGGACACGGACCCATCTAACAGCCCTTGGCTGTGGGTCCAGGATCCTGTCTGCCAGACACACCAGCCTGATTTTTCCAGAACTCCACCAGATCTGAGGCTCGGAGAGGGTTCTGGGAAGGGGTGCAGGATGGGGGGGGGTTCTTGGGGAGGGGTGCAGGGGGAAAAGGGTGCTGGGAAGGCCCCAGGCGGTACCATGCAGGAGGAGACGCCGCTGGCGCCTGCGCAGACCATGAGGTCGGTGATCTTGCTGCCCCAGTACTTCTTGCAGTCGGTGTTGGAGAGCAGGGGCAGCGATGCCTGCTGCAGCCGGTCGGGGGTGTTGGCGTCTGCAGCGGGGGTGGGGGGATGCTCAATGGTGCCTGCAGCCCCACCGCCCTGCGCCTTTTCACCTGCCCGTGCCCCCCACTTGCTGGTGCACCTGGCACCCCTGTGTCCCTTCACTGGCCTACACCCCCAACAGCCCTAGCCCCCTGCAGCACTGCACAGACAGACTTGCGTTTCCTTCCCCCCACCCCCAGGCTTCCCATGATCCCCCCCCATTGGCCCACTCCCTCTGCAGCCCACACCCGCCCTGGGCCTCCCTGCGCTCCTGGGCAGCCCCCGGCCCACCGGGCGCACTCACTGTTGTGCTTGGTCAGGCCCCAGCCGGTGGTGGCGCAGATGGAGCCAGCGGGGAAGTCGTCCTCGGCGCTGGGCAGGCACACGGCGGACACGGTCTCAGAGAAGCGGGCGGGCGTAGCCAGCTTGAGCAGGGTGATGTCGTTGTTGATGGTGAACATGTTGTACTTGGGGTTCTTGAAGACCTGTGGGGGCGCAGATAGGTCGGCGGGGGTTGGGGAGGAAGCCTGGTCAGCACACACTCCTTGTCCGGTATCTCCTGTGACCCAGGTGACCAGGGCAGCGCTGAGGGCAGACCTTCCACGTGGCTCCTCGTGTCCCTGCCGTCAGCCTGTCTCTGGGTTTTGGGGTGATCTGGAAGGGACTTGCCCATCCCGCTCCGTCTGGACCACACACTCCCTAGAGTCCCCTCTGCCCTGGTTCCTCCTGGGGCCCCCCTGGGGTCCTGTGGCCTTCATACCTTTGCAATCTTCAGCACCTGGATGGCCTCGGCATCTGAGCCCTGGTCAAACTCTCCGGCCACGACCAGGTCGGAGGTCCTGGAGGGGCCAGGGGAAGGAGGGGGTCCCACTGTGAGGTAGTGAACATGCTGGGAGGGGGTGCAGGTAGCTCAGGTGTGCCGACACCTGTCGGAGTACCTGCACGTGTGTTACATGCCCACAGAGCATGTAACTGTGCACACGTGGTAGTGATCTCAGGTCAAAAGACCAACAGCAGCACCCCTGGGAACTGAGCAGGGCTGGTGTGTTCTCACATTTTCAGAGAAGGAAACGGAAGCTCCAAGAGTCAGGACCCACCCTCAGTTCTGGGGGTCCTCCCCTCACCCCGGAGGTTGCAGACCCTGGCCTTACCTGACCCCGCAGTGGGCAGCGGTCACTACCCAGTTCTCACTGATGAGGGAGCCCCCGCAGAAGTGGAAGCCTGTAGTGTCCTGGAGAGACAGCAGGGAGAGTCAGCCCTTGGGTCCCCCAGGTCCCATCCCAGGGAGGAGTCCTCACCCAGCCACTGTCCCCTCTCCTGTGGAGGGGCGGGTCCACACCTGCAGGGACACCTGCCACGGCCAGGAGCCAGGGACGGCATCTTCCCCGTTGACAATTCGGGAGAGGCCGCTGAGCACAGGCTGGATGGCGGGCACCCCACATCCTAGGGGGTGAGACGGTGAAGGGTCAGGCCAAGGTCAGTTCTGCACCCACTCACTGGGAGTGAGACAGGGTGAAGGGTCAGGTTAAGGTCAGTTCTGGAAGGCACCCATAAACTTGGACCCTAAACCTGGCTGCCACCTCGCAGCTGAGAAGTCTGCCTGGCTTTGCCCTCCCAGCGCTACGTCAGGGTCAAGGACAGCACATGAGCTAGATGTGGAGGAGCCAGGTGGGCCTGGGGTGCATGGGGGCCCCAAAGCAAGGGCTGAGAGCTAGGCTCTGGGGGTCCGAATCCAGGTTCTTCCTCACTGCAAGCAGCTTCTGTTTCCCCATCAGCAGAAAGGGGCTTCCTGAGTTGCTAAGCCCACAGGTTTGGGCAAAGGTTCAGCTCGAGTCAGTAAGTGAAGTGCTGGCCCGGCTGCCAGCACCTGTGGGTGCTCAGTGAGTGAGAGTGGAAGAGGCTGAGTTTGAGCCCAGTAGGGCCACGGTTGAGGGGGGTGGCAGTGACGAGGGGGGCTATCGAGCCTGCTCCACTCGCACCCTGCCTGGGAGTCTCCCGGCCCTTACGGAGTTTTTTCCTTACAGAAACAGCTTTTCTCTAAGAGCTGTGGCTGGGCCTTTTGACGTGGCTCCCCTCCCTGGTACAGTGTCTGGTCTCAGGGTGGCCTCAGGAACACGTGCCCCCCTCCTTGGGGTCCCTAACTGCCAGGGTCACATCTGAGACTTCAGGAGGTCCTGTGCACTGGTCCAGTGTCTCGTCCTCCCTTCTGTGGAGAGGAGGTTTGGGAGGCCCCGCAAGGAGAGTGACCACAGACAGGGACCTCACAGTTGGGGTTCGGAGAGGCATCCACCCCCCAGCGGGGCCTCACCAAAGGCAGAGCCCAAGAGGGCGCAGCAGGAGAGGAGCCAGAGAAAGGCCATGGTGTTCTGTGGGAGTAAGGCGCGCCTGCCGGCTCTTCCCTGTTAAATGCCCTGCTGCCAGGCTGCTATCTGGAGGCCTTGGGCCAGTGATGCTGCTCCTGGGACAGTGTCCATGGGACAGGACATGCCAGAGCTCAGCTGGCATCAGGGCCTGGGATGGCAGCAGGTGCGGCCGGGCTGAGCTCAGTGACCCCAGAGCAAGGGCGGCGCGGATCCAGGTGGCTGGGGTAGGGCACGCGTCTCGTCTCCCAGGTCCTGTCTCTTGGGGAATCCAGTGATCTGAAGACAAGCCTGGACAGGGAGACCCCCTGGGCTTGGCCAGAAACCTTGGATTTGAGCTGCACAAGTCTCAATTGGTTGTTCAACGGCACCCAACAACAATCAGTTGTTCAAAAGCTCCTGGGCAGCATGGTCAGGGGAGAGGTGTGGGGACCAGGCATGTGGCATGGGGCAGGCCTGGGTGAGGACACCCAAGTTAGAGACCAGGACACCCCACTTGCATTGGGAGTGGTTAAGGGAGCACAGCGAAGGTCACCGGGCTGTGAGCAGAGTTGCTTGGAGGGGCAAACCCTGCACATCGGCCCTGAGTTGGGCCCCCACAGCGTGGCACAGTGCCTGTGGTCCCTGGAGCTGCCCAGGAAAGATGGCCTGGCTGTCCCTAACTGGGCAAGAGCTGGTGCAAATGAACTTGGTGGGCACAGCAGGGCAGGGGACCTGGTTGTGGGACTTGGGAATCTTCCCCAAATTGGGACATTTGGGGGGTGAAACTTTGGGATGGGGGGCTGATCTTGCTGCCCTGGAGCTTCTGAGCATATGCTGTGGGGATAGTGAGTGGACGAGGGCACATGAGGGCACCACACCCAGCAACCCTGGGCCATGGTCGTGGGAATCAGCAGCTGGCCGGCCCTGCCTGCCCAGCCCAGGTCACCTAGGCTTTGGGAACAAGCCCAGCTGGAGGGGAAGGAAGACACTGCCTGCCTCCCAGGTACCCCACCTTTTGCTGGGAGTGAACCCTACAATCCTCACCCACTGCCTTTTCGGCCCCGTCCTGGGGACCCTGAGGCACATCCTTTCCCACACTTTCATCTGAGAGGGGGGCCCTACCAGGGGCGAAGAGTTAGGTCATTTCCTTTGGCTGAATTCCAGTACAGGGGCTGGGTCCCAGGGTGGGTTTGGGTGTGCTGGCATCTGTTTTCCTTTAATAGTAAAGAGAAGGACCCACCAGCTGGACCTGGCTCTGGGAAGACTGGAGGTTCTGTGACAGTTAAAGAGTTGGTTTTGTTTCCTCTGCGTGCCCTTTAATGGTGTGCAACCTAAATTCCATTTTAGAAGCACTTAAACCAGTTCACTTAGGCTGTGAATTACAACAGGATTCAGTTGTGTTTGCTGCAGGCATAGCTGCCTATCAGTGGGTTGTTGACCACTCTCTGTTAACAGGGCCCATCTGAGCAGCTCAGGGTGGTGGACAGAGCTGGGACCCTGAGCACACAGGTGTACTTCCCCAGGAAATGAACCATGAGAGTTGAAAACCCTTCTCACTGAGAACCTGCAGCCCGTGGTCATGGCGCCTGGGAACCCTGAGAAATTGCACTTTCCAGAAACGACCAGCTAAATGCTTTGAACCTGGGCTGGGACTGCTTTACTTGAAGAGTCAGGAGCCCTTTACCTCTTTCTGTGGTTCTGAGAACAGGAAATCCCTCTCTTCTGAGGCCCATGTTCCACCCTGTCCATCGTCCAGGGGGTGCCCAGCACTGCAAAGCTCAGCTCTGGGCAGCTGCCCCTTTCCCAGGGGCTGAGAGCCAGGTCTGGACATGAGAGGGACTTGGTCCCTGCTTATCACCAAGGTCCCTGGATAACAGGGGGGTGTGTGTGTGAGAGAGGCCCCCCGGCTGGGCGGAGCTTCCGGGGCTCTGGGGATAAGAGAGGAGCCCTCCAGCACACAGGCCTCACATCCCACCCAGCACCATGGCATTCCTTTGGCTTCTTTCCTGCTTCACCCTCCTGGGGGCCGCCTTTGGTGAGTACAGCCACTAAGAGTCGTGCACCCTGGTGACCCCACAGGCCCCAGAGGTGGCCTGGCCTTTCTCTCTCGGGGAATCTCTGGCAAGGCTACTTTGGGCTGCAGGAAGGAGAGCCCCCCCATAGGGCTGGCCCTGGGGTCAGTGGGTCTAGAGGCTTCAGGAGGAATTTGCAGGGAGATGAGGGCTGCACGCATCTGGGGGGCTCCACTTTTCTGGTCCCTGCCGAGCGTGCCTTCTAAAACTAAGAGCAACCAGCATAGAGAACAGCATCCGTGTTCTCCGAGCTCGCGCCGTCCCCTGGGCCCGGCCCGTGCGCTGCAGACTGACTACAGCTGCTGCTTGCTTACCAGTAAGCAGGTTCAGCTGACTCCCTTTCTCAGTCGTCGT